GCAAAGAGAGCAAGAACAAGCTGCAAAACCCAAACAGATTCACGTTTTTGGAATTTACATGTAACTGTGTTTATATTTTTTATGTTACTACACCTAATAAAATACAAGCATTCAATGTGCAACTGTGCCCAAGACTTCTCTTTTTCAATGTAGACGCCTAACAGGGAATCAGGCTTTCTTATATAGGGAGTATGCACCCTAGTAAACAGGAGAGTTACGAAGCAGTAAGCTGCCACTACCATAAAAAAATCATTTTTAAGATAATTTTGCAGGATTGCAACTCCAGCAGAGAGGCAAATAACAAATTTTTGGAAATCTTATTTTCTTATTGGGTCAAAAATTTAACTTTAGGTCATAAAATCACTTCAAGAAAGAAAGAATAGTTCATTTCCCAAACACTTTAAATATGTAACTTCGATGCTTTTGAAAAGAGTGCAAATGGTATAATTATGTGTTTATGGCTTTTTGAAGCTATACACTGTCTGCTAAGAAACAGAGAAATCCAGTTCTGTGAGCAGCACTGTCCTTTCATTCAGGTTCTGGCCTTCCTTTTAAAAAATGTGTCTAAAATTTATGATTGTGAAGGAGATCTCAGCACAACACTGATGAGGCATCTGCTTAAACTTGCAGGGAGGCATGAAGCATAGTTATGAAAAACTACCTATGAAATGTGTGAAATTTTCTATTTGTTTCAGCCAAAAGAATTCATACATATTTCTACTGATGATAATTGAAATGCCAACACTGTTAATTTCATTTGCGAAAAGTCAGGGAAGGTGTCTTTCACACAGTTCTGAGGTTTTGCCTTGTTTGTCTACTGCAAATGGATTTCAGTTTAGACATACTTGTGTATATTTTCATCAATGAGTATACTGAAGTTCGTCAATCAACCATTTTGACAGGGAAATGTGACAGAGATATTTAGATATTTAACAACGTTGCCCTTTTTCCTTTTTTTTTTAATGTTTGAATCAAGGCTTCCTGATTTAAAGTTGATTAATATGTTTCAAATATTCCATTTCATGTATTGTTAATTGTCTTTCTCGTTAATTGATTAAAACCCAGTGATTTCACCCCAGTTTAAATGTTCATTACCTAACTTGATAATATAGTAAGTTTTGTAAATTATAGGTCTGCAAAATGTTTTGCCAAATTACAACAGTGTTATGGATTACCAGTTTGCCAAGAAATTTGGAAACACATGAATTTGTGTGGTTCCATGTCTGCTCTTTCCCTGGTATTAATTTTATTGACAGATGTCTTTCACATTGCTGTACATCAATTTATTTTATTTTCTCTTTGCCTGAAATACCTCTAAGTACCAATTTCAATAACTTTGTTTCTAATTTCCTCCAAACTATTAGGCAGAAGAGATTTTCAGGTTTTTTAAACTATGCAAAGCAAAGAAGGCTTGCACTTTAATAATGTCTTCTTAAGAGAAGTAAGAAATGAGGCAAGCACAGACAAGTTTTTAGACATACCTTTTGTGACCCTGGCATTCTCAAACAAGTGAAGTCTTCTGGGCCACTGGTTGTTATTCAGAAACAAATGTATCGCCTCCTTTGCTAACGATTTTTGCACAGTTTCTATTTATACTCTCCAAATTTCACTTGCAAAATGCTGATTTATTTGTGCTTGTTCAAGTAGCTTTTGAATAAATCTTGACAGAGGTGTACATATAATACACAGTTACTGGACTGTAAAATGAAATGGAAAGTATAAACAATCAGGATTGAAACTGCTAATATATGATATGACTTGTTAGAATTTCAGCTTAGATTTTGTATTTGCTTAGTTTCTTCAATGGGCTGCAATACATCAAGCACAGAAACAAGAATCACCTTAAATTTGGATTAATTCAACATTTTCACTGCATTTTCAAAATGTCACATGCTATTTAATTTTTATTTTAGCTCACTTCCTTGCCCAGCTATTTCTTTTCTGTTCAACTGTCCTGCCAAATATTGTGTATATATATATGTGTGTGTGTGTGTTTGTATATATATATATATGACAGCATAAAGTACTTCTGTTCTGAAGGAAAAAAATAGGTATAATAATTCTGAAAAAGAAAATGAGATAAGATATTGATATTTACATGTGGGGGTTTTTGGTTTTCTTCTTTCCCCACTTTTATTTTTAAGGAAGCAATGACAACAATTTAAAATAAATGAGTCCTATTATGTCAAGTTATCTGTTTTGCAAAGGAGTTAGCATCAAAGGTGAAATGTGTGTGTATAAAACCAGATCCATTGGTACCGCTATTACTTTCCACAGGAGAAGTCAGTTGCTCAGAATATATATACTGAATAACTACTTTCAGTAATTAACCTCCACTGTCAACAGTATCATTTAACATATGCTTCATTTTAAACATTTGAAATAGGACTAGTCATATAGAAAAAGCTAAAGCTCATGCCAAGAAATTTTATAGAGTGGGGTCATAAAGAAACCTTACAGAAATGGTAGAAAAAGGAGTTTAAAGAATCACTTGTATTTGAAAGATAGATTGCTAAATAGTCAAGACTGACAGATAAATCACCTGCTACTATGCACTAGCACAAATGCACATATGGAAGATTGCCTTACTCTTCTTGCCAGCTTCCTTTACTCCTCTGCTCTCAAGGTAGCCTTTGTTTTGTGCTGGTCTTTCCCATCAATCTTTGACCATTTGTCAGTTTCAAAAGCTTAATAAAAATTGTCCCTGCATTGCTTAAGACATCACACTGCTGTCACCGCATGTCACTGGCTTGAGCAGTGTATCCTACTTACTTTAAATGCAGAAAAGAGAAGCTAAGAGAAGGTAACAGAAGTGAACCTAAACTAAGCAGATCTAAGCTAAGCCTTGCTCTTATTCTCACTGCCTTCACAAGTTCTTTTTTTTTGCTGTTTTTCAATGTCTTATACACACTTTCTGATTAGTCGCTTCATTTTCACATGCCATAGCTGTGCTTCCAGTTGACCAGCCAGTCTTTGGGTCTCATAATCTTTGGAATGATGAAAGCTGTGAGCATATGTAAAGATGCTGACAAACAGACACACGCAACAGGGAAAAGCTCCTGGAAAATTCTGCATTGGAAGTAGTGACTATTGACATCCCTGACGGAAATGGCATAAATTCTAAGGTGTTTGAAATACTACATTTTTCTAAACACTATGTGAACAGTAACAGAAAGCACACTAAAATATTAAAGAAATGGATACAGCACATGTACAGTTACTGACAAAGGAACATATCTGAAAGCAGGTAATTCACTTCTTTTATTAAAGAAAGTGACAAAAAGTTTTGAACTATACATGAATGATGACATGCATTTATGTGATTAATGTCTTCACAGGACAGTGGAATTTCTAGGAGTGAATAATTTACAATCAGGTGAACAAACTTCTGAATGTGATTGACCTTTGGGAAACAAAGACTGTGCTCTTTGGAGGTCAGTATAGCTGAAATATACTTGTGGAGGATGGGAAAAAAGAAGCTGGTTGTCACAGGTTGCCTGAGTCATAACAAAATGCAAAGTGTCACTTTGGAAGCTTTTCCTCCTTTTACTGAGTCAATTCCAGTACAAAAAGTATAGTCATTAAAAATAGAAATGTAAAAATATTGCAAGGTGCATATTTAGTTTCAAATTTTAAAAATGCCTTTAAAAATGCCTTGTGTCAGAAAAGTCAGGAAAGGTTTATGATTAGTATGACTAAGTGAGAAGACTGGTAAGAATGTGCAATTTTGTGTCTATTATTTCCCACAATGAATCACATTTTTGTAAGTATCTGAAAATTAATCTTGTTTTCTTAAGATAAGCAAAATGAAACATTACATCTGATCAGATCCTTATGACTAAGTAAACAGCGTCAATGAAACTGCAACTGAATGTTAAGAATTCCTTTATTCATAATAATCACTAATGAAAATAATGTATTTGATTGCACCAGTCAATAAGAAGGTACTAAAGAACATAAAATCCATATCTATTAGTCTTCAATATGTATTAACTAGACTAGACAGAACAGTGTCAAAGTGTTAGCTTACAGGATATAAAATGCACCACTCAAAAAAGTCAAATAAGCAAGCACAATTTAATATTGCTCTCATCCCTCCAAAGTCTGCATTTTAGTTTACTTTCAGACTTTCAATGCCAAGGGCACAAGTGACATTATACTCATTATAGAGCCATGGAAAGGCTTGGGTTGGAAAGGACCTTAAAGATCATCTACTTCCAAACCTCCTCTCATGGGCAGGGAAACATTCCACAACATCACAAACCCAACCTTGAACACTTCCAGTTATGAATATCCACAAGTTCTCTGGGCAACCCATTCCAGTGCCTCACAACCCTCACAGTAAATAATTTCCTCCTAAGATTTAATCTAAATCTCTCCTATTTTAGTTTAAAATCATTCCCCCTTCTTTTTAATAATCTGTAAGTACTGAAAGGCCATAATGAGGTTTCACAGAAGCCTTCTCTTCTCCGGCTGAACAACATCAGCTCTCTCAGCCTGTCTTCACAGCAGAGGTGTTCCAGCCTCCTCCATCTTTGTGTCCTCCTCTAGGCTCACTCCAACAGGTCCATGTCTTTCTTGTGCTGAGGATCCCAGACCTGGATGCAGTACTTCGAGTGGCGTCTCACAAGGGCAAAGTATATGGGGAGAATCCCTTCTCTCAGCCTGCTGCCCACACAGGACACACTTGGCTTTCTGGGCTGCAAGCACACCTTGCCAGCTCATGTCCAGCCTCTCACCCACCAGCACTCCCAAGTCCTTCTCAGCAGGGCTGCTCTCAATCTGTTATCCCCCAGTTTGGACTGATGCTGGGCGGGGGTTGCCCCAATCCAGATGTAACACCTCCCATTTGGTCTTGCTAAACCTTATGAGTTTCCCACTGGTCCACATCTCAAGCTTGTCCAGGTTCATCTGGATGGCATTCAGGACCAGTTGTACAACATTGAATGAACAGCAGTGAATTATGGAACGCTCTGACAATATTTGGAAAGAGAAAAAGCTGACAACTTGGAGTATTTATTGTTTACTTTCCTCCCCAGGTCAGAGGGCACAGTATCCCTTGGTAGCATGTGGGGGGATGTCACCTCCTCCAGCAGACAGGCATCATGCAGAGTTGGGTGCTTTCTTCAGGGACTCCAGGAAGATGCGCTCACCTTCCAAGAAATCAAGCTCCTGAGAAGAGAGGGATGGATGAGATGAGTATGAGAGAGTGACAGGGGCACATTCCAGGGTGATGCTCATGACAGAGGGAAGGATCCCAAACCCTCCTTCATGCAGGGAGCCATGGGCTGGCACTCATCCATGGTACCCCTTGGGGTGCATGGGGAGGCCTCCCTATAGTCCACAACTATGGGTAGGACCCACCAATGAAGACTCCAAGAGCACCCCTGCTTGGGCAAGGGCACATCTGGGAAGCAGAAGCTGATAGGAGAGAGTGGGGACTGAGCCAGAGTCTGGCAGAGCTGGCTTCACCCATGCAGGGATGGGGTGGGAGGAGGACAATCCTGGTAAGCTAAGGATGTTATCCATGAGCATGAGACAAGTTGTGAGAAGACATCTGTCCTTGCTTTTGCTATTGCTCCTCTAACTGCCCCCGGTTTCTGCAACCTTGCCCAACCCAACAGCTCAGTAGATCTTAGGAGACACCCCATCCTGTGTATCAAATCACATTTTACCCAGCCTTGCTCCCACTCAGCTGGTTCCAAGCCCATTCCAGTCCCTGTATCCCACCGCCTCACCATCTGGGCCCTGTGTCTCAGCATCTGCAGTGTGGCATAGAGTGCAGTGGAGCTGTCTGTGCTGTCCCTGCAACACCACAGGCCATGCTGAGTGTGGATTCTGCCTGCAAAAGATATGTAACTGGATGGTGCATTGCTGTTGGAGGCTTCACAGACGGGGAAAACAGAGCAAACCTTTTTTTTTTGCTGACCACATGCATCTGCAGCAATATTCTCCCCAAATTCCCAGTGCAAAAGGGCTTTAATCCACCAACCCCCCAGAGCACTGCCCTGGCTCAGAGAGTTTAGCTGAGCCCCTGCAGTGGATGAGGAGGCAAACTTACTCACAGATGAGCTTTAGACATTAAAACCGCCCCCAGGAACATCCCAAGCCTCCTTACAAATGGACTGAAAATGCAGCTGCTCTCCACACATCCCTTCCTATCAGCATTATGAAGTCTTACACGGTGTGCTGGAGACGCTTTCCATAGGGGCACAGAGGTTCTGGGCTGAGTTGCACAGCTGTTCGAGTTGTCTCCTCTGCTGAATTGCGCTCAGCCAATCCTGCTCCATTCCCACAAGAAAGAGAAGCTGTTGGCAAATATGCAGGCCCTTGACACAGTGGCCACAGGCCAAGAAGGGGAGGGTTTATTTGCCTGGTGTAGAAGCTCTTGATGCTGCCTCAACTCCTCCAACTGACTCTGCATGGCATGGAGCCTGTCCTGGTGTACGGACTCTATTCGGTGTGCCTCCCGCAGGGCTCGCTTCCCTACTCTATACTTCTGGGATGAGCGCTGCAAGGTGGAGTGGAAGATGGGAGACAGGGCCCCCCGCTGCCCAGGGGCAGGGCTTCTTTGCACATCCCCTTATTCCCAGGTCAGGATTAGGATACAGGACTTTGGGAGTGTGAAGCCCCAGATTTGCTCCTGGTCTCTGTACAGCTGTGAATTGCAGTGCAGATATTACACTTACTTCAATCATGCTTTTAATTTCCTTCTTCTGCTTCTGGATGGTCTCTGTAGCACTGTTCACCTTCTCCTTCTCTAGCTGCAGCTCATGCCAGGATTCATCTAACTGCTCCCTGTCCCTCTCCAGCTGCTCCTCCTTGGCTCTCAGCCTATGGCCCTGGAAACTCAGCTCTGCTTGCTCCTAGGATGGGCACAGGGGAAAGTTGCATTACCTGACCTGTTCTGGACACTGTCTCATGTCTTCCCAAGTAGATGAGGAAGATCAGCCCTTGCTGATCTTCTCCTGTAGGCCAGTTTGGAGTGCAGAGCAACCCCACCAGGTACTCAAGCAGTGCCCTCATTCACCCACCCTTGAGGTCAAGACTGGCAGAGCTCTGGTTGTACAGACATACTCACATTCTTTCCCCAGAAAGAACAGAGCCCCTCACCACATTGCACATCCTAAGGTGTGCTCAAGGCATGGCAGTTTGTCAGCAGTGGAAAGACTTGGCCTGAATGGTTATTTTCCACCCCATTAGTGCTTAAAAAGGCAGCTCTGCCACACTGTCTGTGCCATATATCCACTCTTGGCAGCCCCAGGCAGGAGCAGAACGTGGCTGAACATGTGCCAATGGCACACGGAGGTTTTGCCTAAGCCACCTTGGAGGTTTCCTCTCAGCAGACTTAAAATGGAATCTGCTGCTTCTTCTCTGACCGTCCAGACTCCTCACAGGCACAGGAGAGAGACAGAGAGGACTGATGCTTCAGTCAACATCTAAGACATGCTGGTGGAGGCTGTTCCTCAACAGCCAGGTTCTCACCACACCAAGTGATGTCTCTGACTTTACAGCTGGAAGCAGCGCTGAATGGCTCCCTGTGGGCAGGAGCCTGCCAGGTGGTGTTAGAGGCCACGGGAAGGGGCTCCACTGTGGTACCTTGGCCAATCTCATCCTGATGAGGTCTATCTGCCGGGATTGCTCCCTCTTCTGCTCCAGCCACTCCTCCCTCAGCTTCTCTTGTGTGTGGAATTCTGCCCACTCAGCCTCCAGCTTCCCTTGCTCCTCTGAGCACTTCTACAACATCGCCTCCTGCTTCTCCAGCAAAGTGTTCTGGAGAGCATGGCAAGAGAGGCAGAGAGAAAGCCCTAAGTCCTATCTGCAAGGGGATTTTTCTGAGTGCTAGCAGGATTGCAATTCCCCACATGAGCAGCTGTGGAATGAAGAAAACAGAGGTCAGATGAAGGAGGCTGCAGCACCCAGCACCCAGCTCTTTCTGTCATCACACGCTGCAGTGCAGCGCTGCACAGACTGACAGCACATGTGAAAAGTACCTGGCCATGTGCACCTGCCCTTACCTTCACCCACTCCAGCTCTTCTCGCTCCATTGAGAGCTGCTGCTTCATGAATTGTTGCTGCTTCTCCAGTGAGTGCAGAGAAACAGAATTCACAGAAAAACTGCACCTACTTGTGCTCACCACTTCTGCATATCCACAGGACTCTCTTTGGTCAAGGAGAGATCCTGAGATGCTGGGTGGCCAAGGCAAGCAAGGCTTTGCCAGCCTCTGATGGACTGAGTTCCAATGAACTCATTAGCAGAGGTGAGGGTCTACACTGTGACTGTGCTTGTCTATTATTCCAGAGGTGGAACATCTAGGTCCCATTAGAATGAATGTCACTTTAATGAAACATACCTTCGAGCTGCTTGTCCTGCTCCTGGGACATGAGATGCTTTTGTGCCACCAGGGCTGTGTCCTGGTTGTATGACGGGAGCTAAGCTGCTGGCTGCTTCTCGCGCCACAGCCTCAGCCCCTGCTGCCACATCTGTTGACACTAGTTCTCCCTTCTCATTTATGGGGTAGGTATGCTCTCCTTGGCCTTTCTTTTCTGATCTATGCTCTTATAGAATCTCTTCTCTTTGTTTTTCACATCCCTGGCCAAGTCCTGTTACATCTGTGACTTAAAATTTTAAAAAATATATTTACAGGAAGGACTCTTATCAAAACTCTTCATAGTTTCAAAATCTTTAAAGAGACTAGGTGTAATTCAAGGAAGAGCGTTCATTTGCAGCTCAAATCCCTTTCAATACAGATGCAGTACTGCCTGTTAGTTACTCTCTTCTGTAGTTTATTCAACTATGCCTTGCCTGCATCAGGTAATTGAAGGTTAATGGCACAGATTATTCAACCAAGTGGCCTGCACCACATGTCTTGCAATAATATAAGAATTGGTGTAATGACATTTGATTAGACTTTCCCACTTCAAAGTTTTGACAGCACTCAAATAGGAAACAATAACATTATATTCTCTGTTTCTTTAAATTCCATTGAACAACAGTTGAGATTTTGAAGATCTATACCAAACAGTTAATACAATAAGTCCACATTGTTAAATGCCAGGTAAAATTGAGGCTTGGTGAATAATACCTTGTTATTTTTCATAATTGCTACCATTAGAGATGGCATCTGCTTTTTTTTGTTTCTTTTAATTTAAATTTTTGTATTAGATTACTGCTGGCTTTGAATTGCCAATTTTCAACAAGAGCTAAGTTCAAACCTAGAGTTCCACAGCTACAATTTATTAAGAACAGGCACTTTAAAGTTACAGTATTGAAAGATTAGCAATGAATTATGGCACAGCCTGCACATTAAACCACCAGGTTGTGCAGCAAATTTACAGACAATCTGCAACCTAAAATATTAATATCTTAGTGATTTGGAGATTACATTAATTACCATCACTCTAAGAATGCAATATTTAGGCTGTTTTATGGTAGCCACTAAGGTCAGTTTGTACAAGTAATTTTTCACCTGCTACAAAACTCCATGAATATATTAACTCATCACCAACCTGTGTTTTCTGCTCAAAGTTGTGTTGTTTTGAAAGGAAAAAAATTGTATTGGTGGACTTGTGACAGAATGAAGTTCCACTTCTGTAGTTAGAGATATTCTGGCATGGGATTTCATCAGAAGGCAATATACTGCCATAAATGCTGACGGCGCCTTGTCATAGCTGAAAATCAATCCTGTCTGTTAACACAAAAAGCTGCTGTGAGAACACGGATGTTACTGAAATGCTGCCAAAGCTGGACAATTTTTACATTGTAAGGTGTTTCCAAAAGTGCAAAACAAATGTGGGAGTACAAGCTGGGCTGGAACTCTACCCTGCAGTGCTAGTTCAAGTAAGTACCCCAGCTCTGCTGGAATGTTCACCTGTGGGAAAAGGGAGAAAGAAACCCAAAAGGAAGTAAAAAGCTTGGGTTTTGATTCTTAATAGTAAACAAAAGTATTAGATGGTGCCTGATAAACAGAAAGACAAAACCAAACAAGGCAATAAGTTTATTTGTAAGTTTTTTAAAGGTAATAGTTTGAATTGAGTGAACACTATAAAACACATCCATGCATATTTAATTTGTTTTCAAATTCACAGAGTTCAAGTATGCCTGTAGTAGTGTATAAAAAAAATATTTTGCAGCAGTTATAGCAAAAGGTTTGAACAAATCCGCACTAAAATTTGCATTTATTAATATTTGCATTGGATACCTAAATCTGAGGATAAATTGTTATCAATCAGCAAAAATAAATAGTTTCCTTACATGTCCGACTAAAATATTTCACATTACCGAAACTGAACATTGACAAATAGGGGTTTTTTAGAGGACACTGAAGTGCTTTTTATTTTTTGTTTTTAATTGTAATAGCATCTTGCAATTAGGACTTGAACTGTCTAATTCCAGGCACTGTACACTGTATCTTGGAGTGAATCTGTGTCTAGAGAAGATTAAGACTAATGGGATTGATTGCATTGAAAATGCAACTTCAGAACTCTATATTATTTTAGAATTAATAGTGCATTCTGCATAGCATCACCTCTTCCGTTTCTTTCTACTATAGCAATATCTATGGACTCCAGGCATTATGAAAATATTTGCACATATAATTAGTTATAATTAGTTATACATAGAAATCAGAAGTTTATTACTTTCCTTAAATGTTCAAGCAATTTTCCTCACTTCATAGTTCCTCAAAATCATAGTTTTCAATTTACAGTTTTAGTACATTAATCTCCTGCTGTCCCACCAAATTGGAACTCCTGGTCTTATGGTGGGCTGATCCCTTTTTGCTTATGAAAAAATTCTCACTGACATATACCTGAGTTGTAGGATAACTAACTAGAAAAAAAGTTAAATTAATTACTCAGGGAGATATTGAGCTAAGAGCAAAAGGTGAATAAAGGAGAGTTAACTTAGCATAAAATCAAGGTATCAAAAATAAATTAGTTCTGAGATATTGAAAGGTCTAAGATAAACAATGTTGAATAACTATGCCTTCATGTTCTAATACATATGACAAGTACTCGATAACTATGGAATGACACCATTATTTGTAAAAGTTATCTTCAATTTTTTAATAGAACATTGTTGCTGACATATGGGAATGTGACAATAGATATTGTGAAAATTGAGGACAATATGTTCACAGGAATTAAAACCACTTAGTTAGATGTGCTACATTTGAAATCCCAGCTACTCATAGAGATGGCTGATACATAAAAAGAGATCACATGGCCAAAGTTAGAAACTACTTTGCACAGACGCAAATAGGACAATAAATGCTTCAATGAATGAATAACAAACTTGCTAAATTCCATGAGAAAAAAAAGTAATTAAATAATATTTTATCAAAATATTTAAACTGAAACAAAGACATCCATTAGAAGCAAAAGCAAATCCCTACAATATAGCAAGTGATGGGAAGGAAAGGAAAAATAGATAGTGATGATAAAATGTGAAAGCAAATAGCTAAAGAACATACACACACACCCCAACTGCTTGCAGTGTTAAGAGGAATAAATTCCACAGGGGTCAGTATGCTTAATGACAAGTCAATCTTAAAACAGAAACACTACAGACCTCCAGGAGTTGAATTCTGATCTTTGTATGTTCCTTCAGGACAGTCCATGATTCTGTGATTTCTTAGTTAATAGGCCTTACTGGCAGTGGTGGAGGGCAGAGACAGGCAAATACCTACTTCCAGGTTCAGAACGGGGTTAAATTTCCTTTCACAGCTCAGCATTTACTATCAAAATTTTTTCTTGTGTTTTAACTTCACTGTTCACTATTTTTTATTACTAATGCCCAGGTAAAGCAAAGTGATAATTTAATAGTATTACATGGTTTCTAGACTCAATATAGCGATTTTACATCACTTCTTGTCATGAGAACTTGCCGCACTTAAGTGCAAGAGTCTCTGGTCTTCACTGACTAGTTGATATGCACTAAAGAAACATCTGCATGACAATGAACTGTTATAGAAGGACATCCTAGTATCACCAGCAACAATGAAGGGAAGGCAATGTTTAGCTAGTATATTTGTATTTCAGGAATACCTAGAGTCAGTATATGTGTTGTAATGACAATAAACACTCTAATTCTGCTGCTCTCAAGCATGTTAAGTGACATTTATTAGCATGTAATATTTTTAAATTGGCACACTTATTTATACCAGTTTATGTTAAGTTTTGGAAGACTATGAAAATTCTTGAATACTAGTAGAAAGTTAATGCTATGTCAATATTTAGAAAGAGTAAATTAAACTGGGTAATAGATATGGTTAATTATAGGCCTGTCAGCCTGCTATCGATCCTGAAGAAAATAATGGAGCAGTCACTACAGGGTTTGATTAAAAAAGAATTAAGAGGAGTTAATATAATTAATGTCATTAATTGACATTATGCACTTATGAAAACTAAGTCTAGTCACTCCAACTTAGTACCCCCTTTGAATATAATTGTAAATTTGGGGGATGCACTCTATCTCTTCCTTTGACTTTGAATCTTTCCATTTTGATGCAGTGAGTGGAACAATACAAAATCCCCTTGGCGTGTATTATATGGAATAAAGTCTGGTTAGCCATGTATCTTGAAGGACTTGGTAGGATTTGCTTCTTGGTCCATCACTAATAAAAAAGCATTAATAAATTTTTTACTAGCAAATATTGTACATAATAAATACTGGTTCATTAAATCATAAAATAATGATGATTGCTCACATAAATCACTCGTAAGCTGAGTTACAATATAACAGTTGTAAAGAGAATTATTCAAGCAGAAAAATGTAGGATATTCTGGCAATCTGAAGAATTATAGAATGGTTTGGATTAGAAGGGAGCTTAAAGCTCATCTAACATGGGCAGGGACACCTTTCACTAGAACAGGTGCCTCAAAGCCCCATCCAATCTGGACTTTAATACTTCCAGGGATGGGGCATCTGCAGTTTCTCTGGGCAACTTATTACAGTGTCTCATCACACTCACAGTAAAGAATTTCTTCCACACATCTAGGCCCCATCAGGTACTGGGAGACTGCTTATAAGCTCCCCCTAGAGCCTTCTCTTTTCCACAACTCCAACTGTCTTAGCCTTTCCTCATGGGAAATACATTTTTTGTTTCAAGAAATGCATAACTGGAATATAGTCACAGTTGAAAAAATCTATTTGGAAATGGTATTGTAAATTTCTTATTGGAAAAAGAATGTTAGCATCATGGCTTAGGGTAGAGTGGCTGGAAATCTGCCAGAATTGATAGTTTCTGCAGAAATGGTCATAGGGGTGTTGGTTGACAGCCACTGAACCTGAACCAGCATGTGCCCAGGTTGCCAAGAAGACCAATGGCATCCTGGCATGGATCAGAAGTAGTGTGGCCAGCAGGACAATGGCAGTATTGTCCCCCTGTACTCAGCACCGGTGAGCTGTATCTTGACTCCTGTGTTCAGGAGCATCTTGACTCCGGGGCCCCTCACTACAATAAAGAAATTCAGGTGCTGGGGCAAATCCAGAGAGCATATCTTAAAGAAGATTCTCTACCCTGGGTTTCCACGAGCAGAATCTCAGGCAGAATTCAATTAATTTGTGTATTTTGTACAGTGGCAATATATAGCTCGAGCTGTGTGCTTCTGGAGAGGGATCGCAAAGAAGGAACTGGAAAATTATACCATTAAAATTTATTAGGATCTGGGTTCTTGTTCTTCATTGATGCACTTCATTGTCTCTCGAGTGCGAATGTAAACCAATGGGCCAATGGTCTTTTCCATCATAAATGATTCTATAACCAGGTAAACTGAATTCATCTAGGTTCATGCTTGAGGAACAATTAATTCACAAATGAACTGTGCCATCATCATGCTTAGTTTTCCAGTCTTTTTGCACTGTTCATTCACTATCTGCAACTGAATGGGCCTTTCCTGTCCATGGATTCCCCCTGTGATTTCTAAAGGAAGTAGAATATTCACCTTTGCCAGGTGAGATTTACTGGTATGAATATTCCACTTCACCATACTTGCAGTTTCACTTCAATGAAGAAATTAAAAGTCTAAAAGTTCAATACAAAATAATATTCTCCCAATTATTCCAATGGACTTGAAGGCTTTGGGCAACTAAAGAGGTCAGAAATTGATTTTGGTTTTATTTTACTCATATCAGCATGACAATCTAGTGTGGCTACCATTCTACAAATCAAAATGTTGTCCATAAAAGTTGTTCTTATGAACTTTTGTGTGCTATTGTTGAATAACTGTGCATGTGTTAGAGAAAACTGCTAATGTGACATATAACTAAGTGACCAATTTGGTAAGAAAGTATTATAGTGCACAGATTGGTGCAGGGTAGAGACCAGATGATTTCTTTCCACTGTGTTTGGCATAGGACTTGCAAAAGCACATCCCACTGACAGAAAGAAATCATTATTTTTTTCTTTGTGTATATGTGGTACAGAAAAAAATGCAGAATCAAAATCCTACTCTGTTCTAATTATCAGTAGGAGCCATTCCAAAGACTTGGAGGTGTGTTTATGTAGGGATTATGAAATGTTCACAGCTCCTAATTTGTACTGTGGTACTTTTAGTCTTTATGTGTCAGGTACAGTTGGGTTATGTTGGCTGTTGGAGTACTGTACTTCATTGCCTTATTTGGTATTTCCTAAGTGGAAAATTCTCTAGATAGCTGGCTTTGTTTGGTTTATGTATCAAATTGGTTTTGCTATTTTAGTCATTAATTTTAAGATGAATATAAGTGTTTCATTATGGAACATGTGATTCTCATGAACACAGAAAATTATTATTTATCTCTCTTTATCCTAAAGTTACACAAATAACTGTAGTGCAATTTTTCTGTTTATCAAACATGTAATTAAATCTTTACAGACTATTCATGCACATATCTATAATAAATTCATAACAAAATCAAAACTACAGTTAATGAATGTTCACACCATAATCATTCTATTTGCTTTATTTAGTACACACTTAAAATGAATGCATTTTTAATTGGTTATTCTTCAAACAGATTAAATTCTGCCTCTATTTTCCTTCTACTATGCAACCTTCAGAATGAAGCTTCACAGTTGCACTGAGAAATCTGGCAGTTTAGTGTCGTTTACTTTCACAGAGGTAAAAAAGACCGTATTAACCCTCCCTGTATCTGGCTACCACTTATGCTTTATTTGGCATTAGTTTATGTTGGTCTTGTAAAAGTAACACTTTTCAGACTGATTTGGAGATTCTGAAGGGGATAACAGCTCTGATCTCATTCTGCCTCACAGAGAAACCAGATATGGATGCAAAATGCACACTAAGTTTGTCAAGTGTACTTTCAGAAATTACTTTTTTTTTAATTGGGAATCCTATTTATGTGTCCCTGTACTGATAACACAGACTTCAGCCCAATACTGAGCCATATTCTCAGACAACATAAAAGATAATGTGCTTTTGCTGAAGTCGTAATAATGCTAGTAAGTATGCTGACCTGGTGAATCTATATGTAAATATGCCATTATCTGTCTCTTTCCTCAAACATGCTAAGCTCAGCACAGGATTTTCTTGCTTAGCAAAGGAAAACTGCAGTGTCAAATCACCTGCATAGTGCTGTCTGCTCATAAGATTGGAATCTACACATGCACATTAATGTGCAGCTGTAGTATTCTGAATATACTGTTATAGATATACAGGTATAAATATACATGTAATTATTTTTATAATTCCTGGCAAATCAACCTTTCCTTATGTTAAAGGGAATTGCAATTTAGTTAAAATGTAGTATTAAGGTACTTTTGTATATTAACAAGATATAGGAGAGAATTCCAATAAAATCTTAATGGTTCTGTTTCCAAGAAACCCTAGAATACATTATAAAATTACTGTAATAAAAAATAAGAAAGAAAATACAGCTTTATCCATAAGTTACATTTCAGATGCATTTATTATACAGTCATCTAAGGCAGGGGCAGATATGTTTTGAAGTGATCAGTGAGACTCCTAATGTCATATATTCTGTAATTCTGTAATCTCTAATTATGAGCAACTGCACTTACTTCCGGTACTGTCCAAGACAAGCTTTGTAAGGTTTACCAGCCTTTATTTCTCTTTCTTAGAAAAATAATCTTAGAAACCAAAATAAATGTAATACTAAGTTTCAGAGCAATGGCAAGCTGATAGAAAGCCATGGCCACTTCACAATGGCATACTTTCATTTTTTTTCTTTCCTCCCTGATGTTTTTATATGGGATTATAAAACCAAACCCAAGATGGACTTTATTGATTTACATTCTCATATCTGCTAAAATAACTGAAGAATTGCATAGTTTGCCTATCAGGACAACAGTCAACATGTCATTTTAAAAAAGAGCAGTAAATCCTTCAGTAGTAGTTGGATTCAAGTCATACCCACCCCCCAGCAGAATACAGCAGAAATGTCAGTCTGAGAGTAATGTTGAATGTTTTGTTGCTTTGCCCTCAAAAGGGAAAAAAAAATTAGAAAAATTCTATTTTATCTTGTCATTCTCTAAAAGTTTGTAGTTTATGCAACAAGGCATGCTACAGTAGTGAAAGCTAAACACAACTGTTCCTCCTGATATAATTTTAGTTTTCTTCAAGTGGCTGATAACACAGTTCCCGACTGCCAGCATTTACTCCCTCACCTATCATTCAGGCCGTGCTACTGCTCTTCTTTAATCCCTTTCCCCTCAGATGCAATGAATCCCAAGGTGCACCTGTTTGACCTGACAGGGATCAGTGTAATCACTTTAAGGTGCTTCCACTCACTGATTCCATATTGACATGACCAAGGGTTGTGCTACACAGGTATTTCACTTCTTGAAAAGGACCTAATCCTTAAGAATTACTACCATTTCCTCTTCTACGCTACATTTAAGTTAGAGCACCTGCGAAATTATTGAGGTGAGATTAATTATGGCCAACAACTATAGCATAAGAAATGCTCAGCACGGCAAAGAACTTTACCTTATTCATTAATGTCAGTGGTCCTACTGAGCAAGAGGCTTTTCAACAGAAAGCATAAAGATTCATTTGTTTGTTTGCACAGCATTAGTTTCAAAATATACATCTGTAGCATATAGTTAATATACTAGGTAAACTGTATACATATATTAGAATGCGTTAGGTTTTGTAATGTTGTTACTTATTTTTACCCTCCATCCTGGTGTAATTAATAAAAAGCCTACAGCCAACAAGAATAAAACAATATGTAGCTATGACATTTCCAGTGTAATCTGTACAAATTTTTTCATTACCCAGTAGAATGCTAGTAAATGTGACTGATGGAATCCAAACTGTCAACCTTTCAAAGGAACCATCTAGTTTTCAACATCCCTCTTTACCCTTTTTTTAAGGTACTCTTGTTGTGATTTCCCCAATTAAATAGACAAGTGTAGTTCCAATATATAAGATAAAATGCTGATGTTATCCAGACCTTTCCCTGTAAAAATGTATTAGTTTTTCAAAGACAAGGGTATCAAAATGCCCAGATCCCTTTTAAACAGGCCTTTCCATGCAAAAAGTCTACAAGCGGCTCTTGGACACTTTCACTCTGTTGCAGCTAAGCAAAGTGCTGTCGTAGTGAGGGAAATTAAGACCAAGCTTCTCTTCCTTGTAACAGTTTGTCTAGTGGAGATCTCTGAAGTGATCTGGGAATGTCAATCATGGGCTAGTGAAAACTAATTTCAAGTAGAAAAAAATTAAATAAATGACTGGAGAATTCTCAGGTTGTATAAACTCCAGATCTTCACTGACTTTTGATCCTGCACATTCAAAAATGTCTCTTTGTTTACGCTGTTCAATTCTAATTAAATTGAAAAACTGACATTTTCAGAAGTAAACAAATATGCTTAATAAGTCCTGATTATTGTTCCAGGAATAGCAGTAACAGAACCCAAATTCTTACCAGTATGCTAAACTATTTTTGAAGGAAGAGGGGTGTTTTTGATTTTAGCAATTGCCAACTTTGTATGTGTCTTTGTTCTCTATCCATTCTTCTTTCTGGCTCCTTTCAGAGTATGACTTTGTTAGCACACATATCACAATATAAATACCTTTGTAGATGTCATCTGATTACAATTTTAAACATTGATATGACCTTTGTACCACATCTGTGAAGAATGAATTCTGCTGTGTATATATGCAGCTGGTTTTACTTCTCTTGCTGGCTTCTTATGGAAATTTTCCTTCTCATATTCTTACACATAAATGCCTCCGAAACAGCAATCATCCTAATGAGCAATGAGGACATTCTGGAGTGCACCTGTCTCATTTGGCTTCATCTTTGATGCTGAACTCACCTCCTATTTATACAGCTCTTATAACTTCAGTTCCTTCTTTAACTGTGATGGTATCTTCACATAATTGTCCTTCTAAAACACTTTACAATGAAATCCACATCTTCCAATATTCTATTATTACTTTATTGTCTTTGCAATATTCAATCATGTTCAGGAGGTCAAGCCTCAACATATATAACAGATAAAGGCCTTATGACATCCAATCTCAAGTAAATCTGCCAACTCTAATGTTTTCCCCCTAAGTATCTACACACCATAGTCCTTATTTCCCTTTCTGATTTGTTTATACTCATCATTTTCCTCTGGTTCCTACAGTGTCTATTCCTTTAAATAAACAAAAAAATAAACAAATTGATTACTGATATTGGGCCTTTGGTTCAACTCCTCTTGCCCTTTGAAACAGTCATTTTATCAGAGATGTTTCAGCATAAAATTCTGTAAGTCATCAGATATATAATGCTTTTATGTCTGTTACCAATTTAGTAAGCTTTATAGTTGAAAAGTTATGGAAAGAGTTTATCCAATTAGAAGCTCTTAGAAATCTGCACACACTCTTTAATTTAAAGTCTGAGGTAATTTTGTGTCAGTCAGTGAAACAGTAACTTAGCTGTTCACCCCCGCTCAATCTGTTAGTCACAACATGATAGGCAAATAAAAGGAAGATAATTAAACAGAAATATCAAAGACACCCCAGGGTATAGAGGGAGTGGTACAAAGTTTAAAAAAAAAAATAACTCCATAGTAGCTCATATGACAACATAGCTTTGTGTGGCATTTACATAGACACTACTATTGTGTTGCAGAGAAACTATTAAAAAAATTGAATTAAAGATTTTCAGATGCAAAAAGGTAGAAGAAACATGGAGGATGAAAGGCATGAGACAAGAGAGGATGTGCCTGGAACATGTGGTATGGGATGTAAGGGATCAAGGCAGGGAGAGGGAGAGAGAGATGATTCAAACAAAGCCTGAGTCCTGACAATGAGCAGAACAAACACACGTGACAGGCAAGAGCAGAAGAGAGAGATCAAGATTAAGAAAAATCAGATAGCTGCAGATTCAACAAAAGAAGTGTAGTGTGTGTGATCAGGAAAGGTTGTAACAAATAATAGAAAGCATGGATCCAAATAAATGGATTTATTCATGCTCATTCCAATCTTCCAGTCCAGACTTGAATAAGGAGTTGAGGGACTGATTTAGTCTGTTTTTCTAAATTGCAACCTTGTCCTTTGTCTAGTAGAGGTAATAGGTATCTGTTGAATACCTATAAAGGTGAAAATGTGTTTGACTTTTCAGTTCTGTTTTATATAATCAAAACATTTCCCTAAGTATTTACAAATCTTGTCATTCCCAAGGCACATTTCTTCCATTACTTCATTTTACTGTCTTCACTTTCAGCCTTTATTTCCATTTAACACTTTATGAGAAATAAGTAAATGCTTCAGAAAAGAAATCCTACCTGAGACATAGTAATATAACTTTCATATTTTTTCAGAACATTTTTAAACAGTGTTTTGAACTTGACTGTTTTTAATAGTTAAAAATGAAAACAGAATAATGTCAATAGGAATTCTGAACTCATTTACTTATCTTACATTTGTAAGATATGTATTTTAGCTTAGCTGTTAAGTGAAGAAATATAGTAATTCTAAAATACCAAAGCTATTTCTCAGTAGTACATGTTTCAGCCCAGGCATATGCTTAGCCTAGTTATATTTGTCCTCAGTAAAACTCTCCCAGCAAGCAAAAAACCCTGAAAAGAGCTCAAGATAACCATGGCAAAATGAGGACTGTCTTTACTCATACAACACTTCCTTATGCAAATAAAATAAGACACAAATTTACCATTACAGAATAGACACGCTTTTGTCTATAATTGTCTTGGTTTGTCTCAAGGGTTCTAGTGAGTTGTAATGAGTAATTTCACACACGGAACATATTTAATTGGTACTGCAGCTTTTTTTGCTATGTTCTATGTTTACAAAAATTTGCACAAAGACTTGTACTTTGGAAGACAATGGCAAACCTGAAAATAATTCTTTTTAGAGAAAGAGTGTATTTTAAAACTTGTGTAGCATGCCATATCTCAGTTTCATAGTCAACTGCAAAACAGTACAGCATATGTTTTTAAATTTCTGTATCTGATGCACAGAAATATTATGCCTATGTTGCTCTAATCATATGCCTCTAGCATCTATTGTCTTGATTTTCTAAACATCAGTTGAACCAAAAAACAGCCCAAACTCCAAATGCTACTTAGCCACAAAATCAGAGCATACCACAGAACACTTCCTTTTTCAACACACAAAAAATATACATCTATCAAAGACAGAAGGCTGTCTTTGACTTAAATCCTGAGCAATAAATTGTGCTTGAGCACAGAAAACCTAAAAGAAATTCAAATTTCAAGTAGTGACCTAGTGACCTCTTGCTGCTTCCTAGGTACAAGACATTCAAGGGAAGACTACTGGGCATTAAATGGTAAGTTACATAAAAGTGAAATGCAAGTCCAGTTGTATCTCTATATGCCTATCTTTTGCATGAAAACAAAATCATACCCCTATATATTCAGATAAATCCCTTTCTACACCTCTATAAAGAAAATTCTTTTTCCTAATTCACATTGGTGTAATGTAGAAGAAATTATTTTCATGAAAATAGAATTCTCATTAGAATAAAATTAGCATGAGTAAGTAGCAAACAGGACATATAACTGAAAATTTGCAAGTCTTTAAGACTGAGAAATAATTTGTCCTAATTAACCAACTCACTTACTTAACTCTCTTAGGAACATATGGAAAAAAAACACATGTAGTTTCATCTTGGAAGTGCACATCTACATAACCTATTAGATGACTTTCTATTTCCAGATTTTCCCATAAAACATTTTATCCCTGTCCAAATTTGTAGTGTCATTAAAATCTCAATTTTGGAAATTAAAAATGTGCAATAATAGCTGTATGACTGGATACCTGAGCTGTGAATGGACAAGAATTGTCGACACAAAATATGCAAGAGCCCAGATGTTCATTTAGAAAAAAACTAGGGATGTAACAGAAATTTTTAATTTCTGAATTGAACTGGAACGGGTTATCTTCAAATTGAAGAAACTGTGTGCTCCCCTTAAGTCCTAGTCAAATTCCACAAGGAATACATTTATTATTACTTTCACACTAATGTACTATAAGCAGAACTTGGCAAACTGTTACCACATCATTAACAATAGCATAAATTCTCATGTTTTGTCCTTTAAGCAATTTAGGAATAACATTAATGTCAAATACTAAACTAAACTACGGAAGCTCTTCTTTGAATGTGCATACACAGTACACACATATTTATAGATGAAGAGGTAGTAAACTAAACAGAGGTCTCAGCAGCGATGCCTGTGGATAATAAAAACAAACATGAATTCTCTGTTACATAATAAGGAAAGTGGTTTGCATGGTGAACATTTCAGGAAGCATCCGAAATCCACATTTACCTCTTGGAGGTGAAACCACCTTTTTCTCCTAGGTTCATTTTGAAAGCAGTGCAATTTCTTGTTGAACTACAAACAAAAATGAGTTTCTTTATCTTCAATTTTATTTTCTATTTACCAATATCAATTTCTTAAGCTCTTTCAGTCCTCTGGGTAATAGGTTTTATCAGCATTTTGAATGAATAGTGAACTAGAATAATACACCTCATTGGCATGAAATCATTTTTATTTTATATGGAGTGAGCATGACTCCTATTCATTTCTGAATGTTAAATTACCTAACATAATAGAATAGCAATCTTCAGATGCATGCAGTATTCTTGCAAGGTAATTCATATGCCCTAGAGACATTTGATTCTGTAAATCAACATTTCCTTTATCTTAGACATTCAGACTAAACCAATTTTGGATCCTGTTTTCAGTTTATTTCACTGTATTGCTAGTTCTTCCTTGGCATGACTGTTACATTAACACAAGCAGGAGTCTTGTTCTGCACAAATAACTTCTTGTACTTTGATGTAATTAATACGTAAGAATTGATTACTGCAATTATATATACCCAGGGTCACAAAAGAGGCATTTTGTCCTCAGGTTTGGAATGAAAAGTCGGTAAGAAATAAATCTGACATTTCTAAATGCACTGTCACTTAGATGACATCTAAGAGAAATTTATGGTAGAATGTGTAATGGACTTACATAAGTCTCATTTTAGTACATTAAATACTCTAATCCAGTCCTCAGTTTTAATTCTCTTGTAATATATAAGTTACTGCATTTATGTAAGTCATTGAAAGGTAGGAAAATATTGTCTGTGTTGACAGCTCTACAAAGATTTGTGACCATTTAAAATATTTTAACTTTTATTATGAAAGCTATAAAAAGACTCATAGGAAAGCAAGAGTGTAAATACATCATGAAATGGACATATTCCTTATAAAACATAATTTACATTATAAAAGAGAATTAAAAAGAAGAAACAACACTGTGAAACTATTAGAATGAGTAGTACAGCTTGAAATCTAAAGCTATAGCTAATGAGACATGTAAATAAAATTTGACCAAAGGAATCCCGGGGTGCTGGAGGACCTCTAGAAACTGAAAGATTTGTTATTTCCTACTAATTGCACCTTAAAATGACATCTGTCTGAGTTTTTTTCTATTGTATTTCACAGAATCATAGAATGAGCTAGGTTGGAAAGGACCTCTGAGATCATCAAGTCCAACCCTTGATCCAACACTGGCGTGGTTATTAGAGCATGGCACTAAACGCCACATCTAGTCTCATCTTAAAAACTTCCAGGTATGGAGAATTCACTACTTCCCTGGGAAGCCTGTTCCAATGCCTGATTACCCTCTCCGTAAAGAATTTCTTCCTAATATCTAACCTAAACCTCCCCTGACAGAGCTTAAAACCATGCCCTCTAGTCTTGCTGATAGTTGTCTGGGAGAAGAGACCAACCCCCACCTGGCTACCACCTCCTGTCAGGTAGCTGTAGAAAGTGATGAGGTCTCTCCTGAGCCTCCTCTTCTCCAGGCTGAACAACCCCAGCTCCCTCAGCCTCTCCTCATAGGACTTGTGCTCCAGTCCCTTCACCAGCCTTGTTGCTCTTCTCTGGACCTGCTCCAGCACCTCAATATCCTTCCTGAACGGAGGGGCCCAGAACTGGACACAGTACTCCAGGTGTGAGGACAGGGAAAGAATCACTTCCTTGGACCTGTTGGCCACACTGTTTCTGATCCAGGCCAGGATGCCCTTGGCCTTCTTGGCCACCTGGGCACACTGCTGGCTCATGTTCAGCTTCCTGTCAATCCAAACTCCCAGGTCCCTTTCTGCCTGGCTGCTCTCCAGCCACTCTGTGCCCAGCCTGTAGCACTGCATGGGGTTGTTGTGGCCAAATTGCATGACCTGGCACTTGTCGAACCTCATCCTGTTGGAATCAGACCAACTCTCCAGCTTGTCCAGGTCTCTCTGCAGAGCCCTCCTGCCTTCCAGCTGATTGACTATCCCCCCGAACTTGGTGTAATCTTCAAATTTGCTAATGGTGGACTCAATGCCCTCATCAAAATCATCAATAAAGATATTAGGCAGAACTGGGCCCAACACTGATCCCCAGGGGACACCACTAGTGACCGGCCACCAACTGGATGCAGCACCGTTGACCACCACTCTCTGGGCCTGGCCATCCAGCCAGTTCCTAACCCAGCAGAAGCATTATGTGTAAAAGCACATATGGTGAGCGTATAGGAGGGTAATGTTGCTGTGGTCTTATGTTTCAGCATGATTTGAGAGAGATTAACAATTAAAATAGTAGAAAAATGATGTTATTATTGCTCACATAATTAAGAACGAGAGCAAGACTTTGAGATAGAAGAACTGTAATCACCACAGACATGGGATCTATATGCTTTCAACACTGCCATCTTCAGAAATGTTATAAGACATGATAAATATGCTTTTCAAAATACAATAATAGATTAAAAATTTTGTAGACTGAGACACTAGCTCCGCTATTTGTAGACTACAGCAAAACACTACTTCTTAGACATTTCTGGAGTACAAGATGTCCCTTTGAGAAAATATTTACACAGCTCCTTTGCAACACCAGAGCTCTGCATCAGCCACGTGTCTCATTAACCAATGAGGGAAGAATGACTGAAATACTTTTTTATATAGTTTTGTGGTTTTGTTTCTAATGTTCTCCCCATTGAATAGAGAATAATATTCCTTTCTGTTCATTACGAGTAAATCCCAAAATACCAAGGCTTTGTTTCTGGAACTAGGTTCTGGGATTTTGTGGGGTTCTTTTGGGGGATGTTGGGTGTATGTTTGGTGGGTTTTTTTGGTTTGGTTTGGTTTTTCCATATGTTTTGTTCTTATGTACTTGGGAAGTACATAGCTTATTCAACTACCACATGACAAAACCCACGTGTTGATATATCTACTAAGTACAGTTATATGCTGAGACGTTCTCTTCTCTTTAAAACACTGCCTACTTAGTTACTGCTACAAATTACATCTTTTTATTCACTTCAGACCATTTCAAATGGTGTTCTCTTATGACTTTAAACTTGTTTAAAATCTGATATGCTCAAACCACTGCCTTTGGTTTTTGATCACTTTTTAAGCTCCTGCTGTAAACAGAATATTTTTAAATTGACTTCTGTAGATGTATAGTTTGCATGCATATCTACTTTTATGGACCTGGCTAGATAGCTTTTTCTACTCACCTCATTAAAAGATGTAAAGTATCAAATCTCTATCTTTACAGATACAGAGGTTAAAAATACTAATTAAAAAAAAGGAACCATGTCTCAGATTTTCAGCAAAATATCCAACAGTGCTTTCTATCTTACTCACTTTCATTAGTTAAGTTTAGTAGTGGAGACTATTTGTATAAATAGAACAAAAAAGGGTTTCACAAATGAAGTAAATATTATTTACTATAGCATAAAATATATTACACTGAAATAAATGATACCTTGTTAGGAAAAAAAAATGGTAAATAGACTGATGAAAGACCTTCGCTTTGAATTTTGACCGCTGTTTGCTTTAAGGGCTTTAAAAAGCCTGTGAACAAAACAGTTCACATTCGGTAAAAAAATTTAACTATTAATTACTTCTCTTAATACTAACTTAACTCAAAATCATAGTTTTATTCTAGTTAAATTATTATGCATGCATGCACACATATATGTTTATTTATATGTCAAAATTCTTTGGCCCTACACATGAAAGGGCTTTCGAAAGCTGCTAAAATCCCTGTGAAAAAAAGGGAAATAATTTCATGAATTTGAATCAAATCCTTACATTCACAAAACTTTTTTTACACATGTAAAACAGATTGCCCAGCAGCTATTTTGCTTAACCACATGCAGCCTGTGCTGAGAATCCAGCTTATTTAGTTCACAAATTTGAGAAATTTGCTTTCTGGGAATGTGAAGCACAACACAAGTGAATGGAGGAAAGTTGCTATCTCCTGCGTAAGTTTGGTCACAGTCA